ATGTTTTCCACAGCAGCGGTAAGTGGAAAGCATGTCCTGAAAGTTCATCCACAAAGCATGTAAGAAAAACAAGCGCTTCATAAAATCTGCTCTGCTTTCATTTATGTCTTTTTTTTTTCAGCTCTATTTATGGATAAGGACAAAACAAATACCTCAAAGTAAAATCAAACGGTAAAGCTTCAAAACATGCAATTTTATCAACATTTCGGAATTTTTCATATCACCTACAAGAGCATTGTGTGTGTGAGGGTGTTTGTGGGCTTCTGGCACGCCCCACTCCCCGCTCTCGTCCACCACTGTCCTTTATCTTCTTTATCTCTCTGTATTTCCCTCTCTCTCTCTCCATTTCAATATTGAAGAGAGTTTTATTAAGGGCTAGACTCGGATGTGCCGAGGCGCTCTTAGTAATTTTCCTACAAAGTGCTTTAATCCATCACACGGCCAACATGTGGCCTTTGCAGCCATACATCATCTAAGCCCACAGAGAGAGAGCGACAGACACAGAGAGAGAGAGAGAGAGAGAGAGAGAGCAAGCGAGGAGGTGGTAACATAATTTCAGCCCCCTCCTTCTTCAACTTCTTCTTCTTCTTCTGCTTCTTTTTCTTCTTCTCTGCGCTCGTCTCCCTCCAGAGTTTCCCAGCTGGGATGGAAAGCACATCTTCTCCACATATTCCTCATATAAGTCCTCTCTCCATTTACAAATCAGAGTGAGGTATGTGTGAAGATGGAGCGAGGGGAGGGGCTGGGTGGTAAGCAAGGGGAGAGAGAGAGAGGATGAGAGAGAGAGAAAATGAAAGAGATGGAGATAGGCGAGAGTGAATGAGTGTGTGAGGCTGAGAGAGAGAAAGAGAGAGATAAGGAAAATGGAGAAAAGCTTACTGGAATGAATGAAATTGGGGGACAAAAGCGGGTGATAGGAAGTCAGTGTGTGTGTGTGTGTGTGTGTGCTCTGTATGAACAAGGTGTGCGCGCTGTACTTGGATGAGGAAATAGAAATAGGCGGAGAAGGAGTGGAGATGAGTGGTGGGGGGCTGCGTTTCCCAGCATGCAGCTGGTGCTGAGTTGCCCTCTGTGTTGCCCCCGGCCAACACCTGCTTCCATTTCGCTTCCTCCACCCTCCTCACGCTGAGGAGCAGCGATGAACTCCGGGCCCCCTGACTAATGGAATGGGCCCTTGCTCACAACCATTAGAGGATTGGTGTCCCTTTCGGTGCCCCCGAGTGCCCTACGGTACAGAAAAGGGAGAGGAAGGGGCGAGGTAGAAGATGGTGGCAGGTCTGCCTTTTTTTTTTTTTTTTTCCTTTTGGCCCAACACCACACACACACACACCACACACACACACACACACACACACACACACACACACACACCAAAGTCCAGGCAACACAACACACACACACCTGTCAATAAACAGCCTAGAGTAATCACAGAGTAAGGCTTGACATAGCTTAGCATCTGACTGAGGCTATTTCTGAGAGGATATTAGAAAATTCTGAATTGGGTGCAGCACTGCGAGGTGTCGGAGAGGGAGCTCTCTGAATGTGTACGACAGCGGCCCCGGCTGATCGCGAGCGTTTGTGTGATTTCATTTAGCCGGTAAATCCAGTGCTCTACCTCAATTACATCTGCTTTACTCAGATGGAAAACACACCTCTGTGTACAGGGGGAGAGGAGAGAGGAGGGGAGGGTGGAAGCAGGGAGCGGATTGGGGGATTGAATCTCTCGATGAGCTGATAGCACGTCCGAAGACAGCGAGCCAAGCTGTGCAGCGGTAATGTTATGCTAATGATATGGTAATGATATGGTAATCTGCCGGCAGTATTCCACCTCACTGGAGAGAAGGGGAATCTGGGAGGCCTTTTACCATTGGTTGGAGACCGGGGACTTCCTGAAGTCAGAGTTCAAGACAAAACCCTTTCTCACACACACACACACACACACACACACACACACACACACACACACACACACACACAGACACACCACATTAACATGGGACAGGCACTTAATTGTCGAAGCAGTGATCTCAGCTAAAATAAAAGCAATGCAAAACATAGAGCTAATCTGGCTTTAATCGGATTTGCAAACTCTTAAGTAAGCAAGAAATAATACCTGTAAACAATGCAGTATCATGAAGACTGGGTTGGCTGCATTGTGAGTAAGCCTGCGAGCTTTATCAGCGTGTAATATCAAGTCGCTGCGACGCTGTTTTGTGTCGACATAAAGCGAAACAGAAAATCATCTATTTTAGATCGTGATCAGGGTCTCTTTTTTTCTGTGCCTGTGTGTGTGTGTGTGTGTGTGTGTGTGTGTGTGTGTGTGTGTGTGTGTGTGTGTGTGTGTGTGTGTGTGTGTAACTCTGCACCTGTGATGGCTGCCATTACCTGTCTACACAGAGCAGCTCTTTCTCTCTGCTTTGTAATGAGTGGGTTACACCACCGCCGCCTTGGTTGGAGCGAAAAGACTCACCATTGTGTGACAGGAGTCTCTGAATGCGCGTCGTTTATTATATTTTGCTACATTTCACTGCATCTCATCTAATTGGGAATGAGCTGATTTGCCATTTAATTTCAAGCATTGTTGACAAACTATAGCCCATCTTTAAAGCCTCCCAAATGAGCAAATGCGTAAGGCATTATATAAATGTGAATGGATCGACTCTATCACTTAGACACGCTTAAGAATCGCAAAAAGTGACAGGAAATGCTTAGGTATGTCTGCTAAAAAGAAAAAAAGAGGGACACCTGCAAAAAGCAACTGCAATGGATGATGGTAAATCTGTCCGTGTGGCATAAAGACATCATCTCGGGTATTTTGCTTTTGTTTTTCTTTGTATTTTACAGTTGCAAAATGGATATGTCAAGTCTGCACAATGGAGACATGCGATGACATTTTCCTGGATGCTGTACACTAAATCAAAGGGACAAACAATATGTTGAGTGCCAGCATGGAGACATTTGATTCCCATTCCACTCATGCAGTATTACTGCTGGAATGCCAGCAGACATCACAATCCTCCCAAGCTGGCACTGGGCTTGTCACACTTTTTATTCCACGTCAGTGTTTTCAAAAAAATTAAATAACATGTATATATATATATCTCACAGGAAAATGTGAAGCCCCTGCTTCTTCTTGATACACTTTATTTGCAGCACAGAATGCGCAAATCACTGGTGACACAATTAAAATAGGTTTGACTTAACAAAGGCGATTTAGTGTCAGTGACATTTAGCATCAGCCTCTGGCGACAGACAGGTAAAAGAAGCCAGTCAGCAGATTGGACCTGAGGGGATGGGGAAAGTGGGGGTTGTAGAAGGCTCTTGTCTGGGTTTTGGTGTTGCTGGGATGGACGACTTATTAACACAGAAACACACAATTAGTGTAAATCCTTGACAACAGACTGCCACTGTAGGCTTACACCAGGGCATCAAAGCTCCAGCACCCCTTAATTTGAATGACCAGACTATGGGTGCTGAACTCAACAACACATATAGAAAATATGTTTTGTTTTTTTTCCTCACTGAACTGTGCATATGCACAAATACAATAAGTTTGTGTAAATAGATTAAAAAATTAGTGCATCATTAGTGTCTAAAAGAGGAGAAAACAATGCAGGAAAAAACAAGAGGTGTTTGTGGGTATACATGAGGGACAATGAGAGAGGGAGAGAGAGAGACAGGCAGAGAGAAAGACAGAGACGGGGGTGGACTGTCCAATACACTCCTGATAAAGGTCAAAGAGATGTTTTATTCATGATCCAGGCGGCAGCAGCAGAGGCAGCAGGGCCAAGGTTGAAATGAGCTCGCGTCCATGTTCCCTGGAGCCAGTGCTGCAAACAGCCTCACACCAGGCCAGCGGACACTCCAACTGACTGCTATCAATAATGCCAAAATGCGCACACACACACACCCTACCCTTATCCCTTATCAATAACTTCAAATCTCAAAAAATAAGAAAAATGGAGTCTTAAGTAAGACTAATATTTTGGTCTGATTTCTATAATTATATATCGAACAGTAACAGTTGTAAATATTCTAGATCTAAAAATTCACAATTTCAGTATTTTTTTCATTATTTACAATGAAACTGTCAATATGCTGTTAAATGCATGTAATATATAATATATTAAGATTTTTACAGTGAACCACTTCAACTATGTGTTTATAACATTTTTTTTGGATTAGTCAGACTTTACATTTGAAAAGCACAAGTTAAACAAAATCCCTTTTAAAATCCTGAATATAACAGCGCACAGCAGGAATGGGAGTCGATTCATAAAAGTTCTTACCTTTTAAATTTCTCTCCGCTGAGAATCTTTCATGAAACATTCACAGTGAAGAGAATCAGACGAGGTTCATTTCGAAATCTCTTACACCCTTGAACCCCCTCTTTGAACTCGCTCCAAACAAAAAAGGCAAAACCTCTGTACTGCACCTAACCGAGACCAGCTCCGAGCCCTTGTTTTTTTTTATATTTATTTATTTCATTTTGTATTTCAGTATAGCTGGGAACTTTTTGATGGAGCTGACACAGTCTGAGACTCAATAACTAAAGTAACCTTTAAAGCACAGATGTGTCTTAATCAGAAAGATTGTAGCGTAACAGATTAAAACTTGTGAAAATGGTTAAAGACCCAATAATTTCTAAAGACTTACACACTGAGCCTATTCACATACTGAGTAGGGAAGTGGGGGTTTCAGGGGAAAGAGAGGCGTGTGTGCCTGTTTGGGAGCATAGATGTGTCTTTTTATACGTGTGTGTGTGTGTGTTACACTGTGTGGCCAGCCCACTCCAAGCATCTTTGATCAGATATGAAATATTCACAAATGCTGCTATAATTTGATGAAAGTCAGATATCCCTCAAATAGGAAATAGAAGTCAGCTCGTTGGCAGCTCTTAAATAAAACAAAATAAAAGAAATCTTAGAATCCAGATTTTAAAAATGTAAATTGCAGGCCCTGAGGTTGGAGTAACAAAGAGATTTTAAACATGCACTGACCCGTTGTACGAACTCCAGTCCATGCTGCTCAGCCAGAGCTTTGGCAGCTCTGGTGCCTCCGTCCATTTGCACTGCATAGAAGATGAGGCAGTTGGTCCCACGGTGCCCCTCTGTGGTCACTAGGTTCCTCTGCAGCAGGCAGCCCAGCACCAGCACAAACGCAGTGAACATGGAGCCTTTAACGAGAATATCTGTGAGAATTAGATCCATATTTTCTTTTTTCCCCCCCCAAAAAAAATGAATAAATAAAAAATAGAAACTCTTGGAAATTATGCATGTTTTAGTGCACTGTGTAGGGATCAGCCCAGAGTGCTACATTACATAATGTTTTAAGCAGACACCTTGCCTGAAGTCTTCAATGTCAAACAGTCAAACCTACAAAATAATCAGATTGTATTTGTGTATCGGTTTTGGTGTCATTTTGAAAGCACAAATGACAGAGTACATTTTTGGCAAGCCCACTAATTATTTGATCAAAAAGTTGTTTCCGCCCTTTAATGTCAGGCATCATTTTTCTCTTTCAAAATGCCACCTAAGGTTATTTCGCATACCCGTGCTCTTCACTGGATCTTTGTAATATCTAAAATCCGCAATTATATACATGCAACAAAACAAACCCAAACACCTACTTTTTTCTTTTCTTTTCTTTTTTTTTTTTTTACATATTATCATAACACTTCATATACCATCTAACTACACAAATGAGTTGACACAGTTTAGGATTCTGCATCTCAGTACAGAGTATTGAACATTGGCAATTGTGAAACAATTTGCCCACAGCCACCTCCTCTGTACTTCTGCGTGAATTCCACCGAGGCTGCCACCTACAGCATGTGAACCACCCACCTGTAGCCACACAGAGTGAAACGTCCAGGAGTTATCTTTCACCCTGTGCGATGAAAGCTAGAACTCTGGCATCGGGGGCCCCAAGCGAGACAACACACTCTCTCCAGTTCCCAACCCACACGTTTAATCTCCTGGCCTTGATGCAAATGCTTCTGAGAGCAGAAAACACTGCAGTGCCCTCATTGCGTGAACTAACTTCCCTCTTTAAGCAAAACAGGAACTTTATCAGTCTGTCTTTATGCTCATACTTTTCCTGTGAACAATGATGGAACAAAAAAAAAGTTGCCACGTTGCTCTTGAACAGCATCTACTGAAAGAGTAAAACAGCCGATGTACTGCTGGACGAATGCCGCGTTGAAGAATATTAATTGCTTAAACTCCCTGTCCTTTCACCACATTACACAATCAACATTTACTGTTGATCTGCCAAGTTGGCCATTTTTCAGTTTTATACATTAGCTTACATTAAATGCAATTAGAAACGCAATCAGGCAAAGTGCTGTTTCCAGCGCTCATGTCTGCTGCCCGTGCAAACAGCTCCTAAACTCTAAAAGGTTGCTTCTAAATACAGCTGCTCCTATTATACAAGCGACTAGTTGAGTAAGGAGGAATCATTTTAAGCCACGCGTTATGCAAACAATACTTAAAAATAGTGCACGCAAGACATAGAACAAAATATATCGGACTTTTTAGAAGCCTGATGAACAAAACAAGCGGTTCTTTTAAATCCCTTCTTGAGAATCGTGATGGGAATTCTTAACAATGATTTGTTTTATGCGCAAAAACAATAATCCAATGTTATCACTTGCAGTGCCGGTATCTAATAGTGTTAATGTGCAGCATCTGTGGTTGAAAAAAATCTTTCTACTTCTTCGTCAATTCTTTCAGCCTCTTTACTTTGAGAAATGCACCCGCTAAGATGCAGCAAAACTCTGAACCAGAAGATTAAGACATCTCCGTCTATGAGTGATTCTGTTTGTGTGTTTATCTGACTCCTCGTCAAAGTGCCTCCTCCTGCAGCGTTTTTCGCCCCTACCCCAAACAACAAACAATGCAGCTGACCACTGTTTAAAGTCAGCAGCATCATTCAGCTCCTATCTCCTGAGCCACTGATTGAAATCGATAACCTCACTTGGGGCTCGAGCCCCAGTCAATCCCACTGAGGTGCGGGGCCGGGAGCGAACACCCCACCCAACGAGTAACCAGCCCTGGGCAGAGACAAAGTAGACAGGGGGAGAGGGAGGAGGGAAGAAAGAGGGTGCATGTGAGACTGGAGTACAGGGGAGCCACATTGAACAGTGTCAGGGCCTCGGGGCCTACTGGGACGCTGATAAAGTACCTGGACATTTTTATAGACAAACTACTTATTTCCGTCCTCATATCGCTTGGGAAGACTGATAACTTTATATTCCTCTCAGGCAGTGGAAAGAAAGGGAGGAGGGGGGTCCTTTCAGGAGTTTAATTGATCAAACTGTAGCCACAAGGTTTTTTTTTTTCTAGAGATAAAAGAGACTAGCACTCTCTCCTGTACAATACAGAGATCTTTTAGAAAGCAGACCCAATGAGGGGAAAAAAGTGTAACTCATTATGCAAAGTCATTACAGTCCTCTGACTACCCTCCTTAAAGAGAAGGCGTTAATGGTAAAACTGTTCATGATTTTCCGAGGTCAAACTACTGGTCACAGGATAATATTATTTCACAATGTCCACATTATCGCTCCAACCAAACTTTTTAGATGGCCGTTTTAAGGTCAGACTTAAACACCATGTCTACTTAGAGTGTTTAACATTAGTATATTACCATAGTAATATTGCCCAGGGGACATGTTGGTAGAGAGCGAGGGAGGGGGGGGGCAATGTCTCAATTTTACAATGGCTTTACAGTAGAATAATGTTCTTTCTGTCATGAGTCAAGAGAACAAACGCAATAAAAACTGAGCCACAATAATCAACCCCATCTCGAGCCATCAGCAAAATGGCAACACATATGCAAATGTTGTTAAATATTTTTCCTCTTTTTGTACATTGCCCTGAAAATACTCCAGAATCTTACGTTCATATGGATAAAGCAGACTTGTAAAGCTTTACAAGTCATATTGGACAGATTTTGTTGTCCGTGGAGAGAGGCAGGCTAGCAATTTTCCAGTGTTTAGCAAATGCCAGGCTGTAATATAAGGAGTCCTTGAGAAAGACTTAAACCCCTGCAGCAGCTGAACTACAGCTGACCGTAACTTCTGACCTTGTAGTGCGTTTGTGGACGGGTGCTCCATTTTTATCACTGACAAACAAATACTGTGGAGGCAGATACTTCAACAATTTAATGATAATGTTTCTCAACATAGTTTGGAAAATAAGAGCACTATCAAAGAATTTCTATATACAAGGTCAAAGAAACTGTTGAACTCTGGACATTAAAAACAAACTAAAGCCCTACCGATACAGGATTTTGAAGACCGACGCCGATTTTGCAGACTGATGCCTATACCAATATTTGGTGGGATACAAAAACAAAAACAAAACAAAAAAAAACAGTTTTCCAATATATCCAATATTATTTCAGACATTCAAAATATAAACATATTTCCAAAACATCTGTCTAGTTATTCATGTACTTATTTAGTCTCTTCCAGACTCTGCTCTGATCAGCTGGCTGTTGGTTTCCCCATTTCAAACACTTATCTTGCCAAAAGGAAGTTGCAAGTGTCAAAAAAATATGCAGAGTCAACACTCATAACATGGTTGAAGCGTTTTTCTCCTACCTCTTCTTTGTTTTTCAAGACATAACCAGACAGCATTCTGTACGGAGATTGGTAGTAAAGGAGTCCAGGTGAAAATAACTGGTTTCCTATGAAATTAAAAATCCTGCAGAGGAAGTCCAAAACATTTGAGTGCTTAAAATCATGTATCAAGCAAGGATGGAAAAATATTTTACTTGTACAACTACAAAGGGGGCTACTCTGATTTTGTGATGGACTGGCAACCTGTCCAGCATGCACAGTCAGGATATACTCCAGGTTCATTGTGACCCTGAACTTGAAAAAGTGGTTAAATGGATGGATGGTTAAATGAAAACTACAGCAGTTGGTCTCCTTAGTTCCCAAACAAAGAGCAGTTAATGGAGCACATGGCCTTGTCCAAACTCTTTTGCAACTTTTTTTGGAACCATGAAAATTACCATAGATTTCAACATTTAAATGTTTAATATACCTTTTGTGCATTTAAAAAATGAAATATAGTTTTGGGCAAATTGGAAATTATTGCATTCTGTTCACCTTTTTATGAAAGGAGTCGCAAACGGAACTAAACAATCAATAATATTAATGACAGGTTTTTACTTTTCCTCCTTATATTAAAAACGTTGACTAATGGAAAAAAACAAACAAACACCTATTATCAGCATAGCTCCACCCAGCTACATCATGCATGGGGGCTAGTCAGACATAAATGGGGGACACCTGTAGTGCTGCATGGCTATGGCCATTATTTCGTTTTACAGTGTGGAACATTTTCAGCAGATGTTGCTTCCAGTTGCTTCTGTAGCAGTCTGCCTGTAGTTATCCATATGTTGGCAACAGTGTTCTCTCCTTTACACACAGTTCATTAAGTCTATCTGGAAGCCTCAAAAGGATGCAGGTAATTACAACACCAGGTTATCACCTTAACATAATAATGTCCCACTGCATCCATTACAAGCACCAAATCCTTTTCAGAGTTCGCTGCTATTAACTGAGGATGATGTGGATTAATAAATGCATCCAGAGAACTGATGTGAGTATAGTTTAAGGTTCTCACATTGTTAGCCTCGGGTCTTGAATTTTAGTGCCCCCCCACACACACACACACACGCACACACACACACAGATACAGCAAAAACACAAAAAACTGAATAAAAAAAACCCACCCAAACTGGTCCAGTGCATCAAAGCCTGGAAACGAGGCTACATCTGAGAAAGACGGGAGGAGGGAGTGGGGGTTCAACTCTCACTCCCTCCATGCAACACGGAGCTGTGAAAGGATAGAACGGGTTTGTAGAGTAGGAACTGGGGGGAAGAAAAGAAAGCTTTTACCTTTCCCATCCAGGCGACAGAGCCCTTAGACAGACGGACTGCCTCCTGTTGAAAGCAGAACGGCAGGTCGATGCATCGTGGAGAAAAAAGAAAAATTCCGACGCGTCCATTTTTTTTTTTTACTCCTCGTAATAAAAGATGCAAATTAGAGCATGCAAAACACCGCATCTACAGAGCACCTTCTCACAGAACAAGTCAAACGTGCAGAAATAACGATTTTGTAAGTCGGCAAAACGAGCACATCCACGGCGTGTGGCGGAAGGGGGGATTTTGTAAAGATGTGAGAATGCATTAGAATGCAAGAAATGGTGTGATGGCGAGAGGGACTGTTGAGAGAGACAGATCTGCATATGGAAATTAGGTTTAGCCTGCTTTAAATTCTTTTTCATACGGTCCATTATTTTGTATTCATTTGGGCGGAACCCCGACAGTGGGACCGAGGGGGACAAGTGACTTGACAAATCCCGGGGAAAAGTCACGGCACGGAACAGGTGCTTTGGTTCAGTGCTTTTTTGTGAGCAACTGTGTACGCACATACATGCTATGACGATAATGCTCTAAATATTTTTTCATATATCCACATAGTATTGTTTTCCCGAGTCTGTATTTAACATCTGTTATGTAAACTTAATTTCAAGTTAGCGTGTATGTCTTAACAAAGACCGAGAAGAAACTGAATGTAATTATTTTATTTGTTTAATGAGAGAGCTCAGCGCTGTTAGTGGTATACAGAGGAAGTTCAGGTTGCTCTTTAATACAACTCACGATAAATACAGCTGCTGAACCGACTATAAAACAACTACAATTCTAAATATCTTAAAAGCTGCCCGGAGAGACATTGCGACAGAGGAAGCGCTTAGCAGTGAGACCTCTTGTTGTGTGTCTGTCAAAGGATTAGGTTCCTCCCAGTAGGAAACTTCGGACCAATCATCGGGCGTGGAGCGAGTGTGCGCCTGCGTAGTGTGAGCGCGCGGGACCGGCTGAAAACACAAACAGCGATGAATACTGGGAAGTAAAATTCACAAACTACTAAATATACAAGAAGCCGAACTAACAGGTTAGTTCATATTTCATTAACAGTTGTTTTTGGAGGCTTTTCTGTCTTTAGTTTGCCTGTTAAAAATAGTTTTGTTTGACTTAACTGTGCTGTCGTGTCGGCACAACGTATGCTAGAAAGTTAACGCTAGCATTATCATGCATAAAGCGTATAATGTAGATACGTTAAGTGTTAAATTTGCACTTCGTAACTTCTATGAAATGTTTTATACTCTCATGTTGGATCCATTGTGAAGTACTTGTTCGTTGGCTAGCTATATGCAATAACATACATGCCCGTCACTTATACATTCAATAAATTCATTTATGTTGCTCCAAAGATATTTTTTCCCTGCTTTCTGCTCATGTTTCCTTTAAAACTACATCTAATTGTGCACAACTCTGCAAAATTAGATGTAGTTTTGTATGCTCTGCGTTGAGTACCAGTACTTGTATGTAAGTACAAATGTACTGTAAGGTACATTTGTACTTACAAAGTAAAATGCTAAAATATTGCTGTGAAACCCTTTTGTTTAAATTGTATGTGGTAATAAATTATACATCATCCCAGTGTAATTGTGAATAACTTGTTGAATATTTACATATGAACACAGTTTTGCAAACCACTGACAAAAAAGCATTCTCTCAGTATTTTGCGCTGTGATTCCTTTATTTTTTTTTTGGTCATTTCAGGTCAAATTGATTCTGCACTGACACCATGTCAGATGACTTCAGCCAGTCCCTCACCCCGCCAGTTTCCCCATTTGCAGGAGACAGTCTATGTGACCTGGCTCCAGTTCAACCACCGTGTTTCTGCTGCTCTGATGTAAAAGATGATCCCGCTGGAGTACTTTCCACAGAGGGATATGTTGTTAGAGGCTCCTTGAAACGGTATAATTACCTTCTGCCAGCTGACTGTAATCGTACAAAATTGTCTGGCACTATTTTGTGCCTGAGAAATGCTGTCAGTAAGAACAGTCTTTTATAAAATCGGTCATTTTTCTGTGTAATTTATTCAGAGGTCTTTTTTTTTTTACTTATAACACCTCAAATGTAATTCCATTTACCTCCCCTGTGATGTTGTAGCTGCTAAAGTTCCACTAGGAGAAAAGCTTTAAAATCTCACTGCAGTCATTGCATCCACTCCAGGCTACTCTTGCGTCTTGACCCAGCCCCTGCAGAATATGAGACGGACACAGTGGACATCTTTGGCTTCTCCTGGGTGACAGAGACAGCACTGGTGGAATCTACAAAACTACTGTTTGGCCTCTTCAGGTAAGGCATGATGTAAAGCATATGTTATTTCAGTCTGCTTTAACTCTTTACCCTTTGAAAGCCTATTAGAATTAACCTAGGAGCTCTCTTCTGAACTGAGCGGTTGTTTGACGCCTCCTTATAGAAATGACTGGGTGTGTATCGAGAGTTAGTGAGGGTGGTCTTTGCCTATGCAGCTACCTTTGGAAAAACCCTGATACTATTCTAATCATTGTGAAAACCTTTACTGATATGTAATGAAGCAACAAAACATGTTGTTATGGGAAGTCATCAGATATCATCTTTATAAAGGAAAGAGTTAAAATTTGTTGTTTCTACCACTTAATTCTTTTCCACGGCAGCAAAAGTGTGGTCATGAAATCATTCTTTAAAATATTTCATATATATTCCTGATACATTATTGAAAAAGACATCCTTCATATCCATTTACAGGGTCTCTTCTGTTCTGTGTTATGTTTCAGACAACGGATTTACAAGTTGGAGACTTTAGTTAAGTCCAACTCAAATGACTTTGGTAAGTCTGTGTAATCATTAGTCCAACTAACAGTCTTTTAGTTTATTGTCAGTATTTTGTTCGCACAGTAAGCCACTGTTTGCTTACATAGGCATAGTTTGTGTATTAGTTGGATATACAGGTTGTTTATGTGCATTGCTTGTTTATATAATTATCAGAAAAAAGATTTGAAACATTTTTATGCAGGTTCTGTCAACCCCTTTGGAACTTGGATCAGATTTTTAATCCTAGTTAAGGCATATTATGTGAGGACAGAAAATGGTGTGATCAGCTTATCAGCTTGTAGGAGAGTGATAAAAACTAGTTAAATCAAGTGAAGTAAGTGTAGGAATTACCGAGGGCTTCAAATATGTTAACCCTCTCAGGCTCAAATTAAACTTTTTGTTGCTAATGCACAACCAAGTCCTGCAGTGGTACTTCTGAGTAAAAAAACAACAACTCATAAAATATGTATGTGGGGTAATCAGGTTGTTAGTTTTTAACTGTTGCAAATCGGCAACGCCTGCCTTGAGAGGGTTAAAGAATGAAATGTCCAT